GAGGGGCGGGGCTGGGGGCCCCTCTCTGAAAGGCGGGTGCAGATCATGGCTTCCGAGGAGAGTTCTTCCTTCGCTTTGCCCCTGGGCTCCCTGGCTGGGTCCCACGAACCTTGCCTAGAGAGGGCCCCTGCTTTACCCTCCTGGGCCTCACGTAGCTTCAGCAGCTTCGCTGGGGCTCAGGGGCAGGCGGGTGGTGCTGAGGAGGAGGAGGCTGTGCACAGGTGGGTCCCAGCTCCGCCACGTCCCTGCTGTGTGACCTTCACAGGTGACTCCACCTCCGTGTGCCTCGGTCCCCACAGCAGAAATGCTGGCTCTTGAGAATTGCAGTGCTCTTGAGAGTCAAGCAAGGTGGTGTCTGGAGCTGGCCATTCAGTATTGTTATTTTTACAGTGGTGGTTTCCCCAGGGCTCTCCTCTGGGGGCTAGAAGATACTTGAGGCCCAGCTTCAGGGGGAGCTCCCCTTTGCCCCAGACCCCATGTTGCAAACACCCTTGAGAAGGATCCTGGACAGAGGCCCTTACTTTTCGTCTGGAATTCCAAATGCTGCAACCTTGCAACTTTGATCCAGTTAGAATTGGATCAGAGGCTTGTCAGGCAGCAGGCGAGCTCCAGTTACTCCCAGATAACCTCCTGCCTCGCTGTGGTTTCTGGAGCTCTCTGTAGGGTGGGCAGTGGGAGCCAGGGTAGGTGGGGTAGGCCCGCCCCTGCAGGTGTCTTCGGCACCCTCCCCAAGTTGAGTGCCTTCCGCCCAGCCCTGTGTGCGGTGCTGTGTGCCCGCAGTCCACCAACCTCTTAGCCCCAGGCCCTGGTTGGGACTAAGAGAGCTGGGAGGGCTGAGCTCGTCCAGGTGGCAGAGCCACTCTTGGAGCCCCAGCTGGGGTGGCTCCAGGGCCCGTGCTCCTGATTCCCATCTGGAGTAGCCTCCCAGAGCTGCTTCTGGGCTGGTGGTGTGGCTGTGCCGTCTTCCATGTATTCGGGTTCTCTCCACCCCTCTCTTTGAAAACAAAGATGATACCACGCTGTACATCTTAGTCTGCAATCTGCCATCTTCACGTGACAGTCTCTCAAGATTTTTATATATGAAAGACATATTTTCCTTTTTAATATATTCACTGTATCTCTTAGGAGATCTGTGATTTTTTTTTTCTCAATCCACCATCATTTACTCAGAGTCAGCATTAAAAAAATTTAAAATTTGTGAGAGGACAACTATGTCTGATAAAGCATGTCATGGAAGGCTGGGCACGGTGGCTCACACCTGTAATCCCAGCACTTTGGGAGGCTGAGGCGGGCAGATCATGAGGTCAAGAGATCGAAACCATCCTGGCCAACATGGTGAAACCCTGTCTCTACTAAAAATACAAAAATTAGCTGGGCATGGTGACGGGTGCCTATAGTTCTGGCTACTCTGGAGGCTGAGGCAGGAGAATTGCTTGAGCCAGGGAGCCACTGCACTCCAGCCTGGCAACAAAGCGAGACTCTGTCTCCAAAAAGAAAAAAGAAAAAAAAAAACCTGTTGTGGGGTCGGCTCCTGCCCCGTGCCCCCCCCCTTTTTTTTTTTTTTTGAAAAACAGGAATATTAGTGTAGCGTTTGGGAATTAGGCTATAATTTGTTCCAGAGAGGGCATGGGTTAAAGCGAGTTGAGAAATACTGGCTTGAGACGTTGGGCCAGGGAGTGCAGAAGCCAGCACCTCGCTGCCTGGGTGTGCACCAAGGCTCAGTGTGTGTACGCTCCGCCCGGCTCTGCGCTGGGCCTTGCTGCGCCCTGGCTCTGGGGCCACCTGGACTTTGGCTGCCTCACTCTTTCATTACCCAAGTATCTACCGAGTATCCACCATGAGTTCTGGGTGCAGAACCATGTTCAAAGCAGGTGGAAATCTCCGCCTCCATGGGGTGGACAGAGATGGGTTGTGGGGACTCCAGTCTCTGAGTGGGTGGGGAGGGCAGCGTGTCTTTTGTGATTCCAGCTACCAAGGCTGGAACAACTGCTATTTTTCTGGAATCCAGTTTTTTAATCTGTGCCTCAGTTCCTCCTTTGTAATGGGTGGGAGTGGGAGTGGTTGATGATAGCGAGTGCTTCCCATGTGTTATTAGAGGCTGTTCCTTTTCCTCGACTCCCAGTTCCCTTCCCTGGAGGCAGGCAGGGCTCCAGGATCGTGACTGCTCTGCTGGAGATGTTTGTGCCTGTGTGAGTTTGTGTCCGCAGAAGTTCATTATTTTCTAACTCAGGAGCACAGAACTGTACACTGTTCTTCACCTTCCTTCATTTTGAAATGTTTCATAGAGGCGGGGTCTTCCTGTGTTGTCCAGGCTGGTCTGGAATTCCTGGGCTCAAACCATCCTCCAGCCTCTGCCTCCCAAATTGCAGGGATTACAGGAGTGAGCTGCCTCACCCGGCCCTGCACCTTCCTTTTTTCCTTAAGATGTCTCAGGTCATCCCAAGTCAGCATACAGACCTGCCTCCGTCTTTCCCCCAGCTGCAGAATGTCTCATTGCACAGATGCCTCACAGGCATTCTACCTCACAACAGCCTGTGTGTTAAACACTGCTGTGATATTTCATCAAATCGAAGGTGCTGTCATTGGGGGGGCACCTTATTTCGTATAGTGCCAAGAAAAAAGAGTGCCCAGTTAAATCAAGACAGACCCCAACTGTGAGATGCACCTGCATTTCAGCAGTGTCAAAATGTGGAAGGGGGTGCATGGTGGGACGGATGGAAATAGAAGTAGTTTTGCGTGGTACACCAGGAAACGACACTGGGGAGGAATACAGCCCAGCAGGGTGCCCCGGCTTGGATTTTGAAGCCCAATCCCAGCCGCTTGTTCCCTGCCTGACCTTGGGTGGGTGCCCCAGTGCCTCAGGAACACAGGAGCAGTGACACTTGCCCTGGGGCGGGGGCCACCCTGGAAGATGCGTGTGAAGGGCTGGCTGTACTCCCTGTGGCTTATTTAAATCACTGGGATTTGGGAAGTTGCCTACTTGTACTCTTTGAATTTTCTCATTATTAGTAAACATTTTATTTTTCCTATTGGTCATGTGGGTATTTTCTAGACACAAGCAAAATACACAGAGGGTTCAAAATGCATTGGGTTGAAAACACCTAATTGTGGTGTGGTCAAAAATGGGGGATGTGGACAATTTGGTGTCATTCAGCCTAGTATATTTTTCATTTTGGTCTCTGGTCATTTTCACTTATTAGGCAGAACAGGTTGTAAGTATCCAAAGAAAATTCTTTCCTTTTTTTTGCTGATTGCAGTGGCATGATCATGGCTCACTGCAGCCTCCACCTCCTGGGCTCAAGCAGTTCTCCCACCTCAGCCCCCGAGTAGCTGAGACCACAGGCATGTGCCACCACAACACCTGGCTAATTTTTTATCTTTGGTCTCTACAAAATGGGTATCCATGTTGCCTAGGCTGGTCTCAAACTTCTGGATGCAAGCCATCCTCCCACCTCAGTCTCCCAAAGTGCCAGGATTGCAGGTGTGAGCCACCAAGCCTGGCCCAAAGACAGTTCTTTCCCAGCAAGTTCTAAACCATGAGTGACAGAACTAGTTTGTTGTTTATTTTATTATTATTATTATTTATTATTTTGAGATGGAGTCTCACACTGTTGTCCAGGCTGGAGTGCGATGGTGCGATCTTGGCTCACTGCAACCTCCCCCTCCTGGGTTCAAGTGATTCTCCTGCCTCAGCCTCCCAAGTAGCTGGGACTACAGGCGCATGTCACCACACCTGGCTAATTTTTTGTATTTTTAGTAGAGACTGGGTTTTACTATGTTGGCCAGGCTGGTCTCAAACTCCTGACCTCAAGGGATCCTACGCCTCGGCCTCCCGAAGTGCTGGGATTACAGGCGTGAGCCATCGCACCTGGCCTGTTTTTATTTTTTATTTTTGTTTTTTGAAAACTTTTTTAGAGATGGGTCTTGCTGTGTTGCCCAGGCTGGTCTTGAACGCTTTGGCTCAAGCACTTGGCCCACCTCGACCTCCCAAAATGCTGGGATTACAGGTGTGAGCCATAGTACTTAGCTTCTAGTTGACTGTTTTTAAACCAGGCTCCCTTCTGCTGGGACCTGCTTCCTGTCCACCAGCTTCTCTCCTCTACGTCCCTGGGCTGCCAGGACCTCTGTCCCTGCCATGCAGACTCCCTGCTCCCAGCAGACTGTCCCCTCCAGGGATCCTGCGGGCCAGCTCTTGCCTTGTAATGTCTTCGGCTCCTTTGGCTAATGAATGCTGCTGCTTACTCTTGGTTTAACTTTACAAAACATTGGTAACTTATAAACTGGAGCTTGTCATTTGTTCTGAAGAATTTACAGAAGCCCTGTCTCTCCCTCATTCAAGGCTCAGGGTGCTAGCTCATTTTCAAGGGGCTGTGAAAAGAGAGGGTCACTCCTTTTTGATCATTTGCCTGCTGCCTGGCTTCAGATGGCCCTCAGGCCGGTCACTTTAGGGAAATTGGTGATCTCTCTTTGTATTCCACTTTTTTTTTTTTTTTTTTAAGACGGAGTCTTGCTCTGTCACAAGGCTGGAGTACAATGGCGTGATCTGTGCTCACTGCAACCTCTGCCTCCTGGGTTCAAGCAATTCTCCTGCCTCAGCCTCTTGAGTAGCTGGGATTACAGGTGCCTGCCACCACGCCCGGCTAATTTTTGTATTTTTAGTAGAGACGGGGTTTTGCCATGTTGGCCAGGCTGGTCTCGAACTCCTGACCTCGTGATCCATCCGCCTCAGCCTCCCAAAGTGCTGGGATTACAGGCATGAGCCACCGCGCCTGGCCTGCGTTCCACACTTACCCGCTCCTCACCATCACAGCCGGGGGTCTGTGGAGTTTCACTCAGGTCCCTTCAGCTCTCTCTGGTTCTGACAGATCTTGCCCAAATTCCCATGGGTATGTGGTCATTTGCTTGCCTGTTGCAGGGGGTGGCTGGGAGGTGGCACTCAGCCCTTTGACTCTGAGGCCCAGGACTCCTGGCTCCTGGGACTCACGTGTGTCCCTGTATAGGGAGGAATGGATGCGGGCCATCCAGATGGTTGCCAACAGCCTCAAGCAGCGGGCCCCAGGTGAGGACCCCATGGACTACAAGTGTGGCTCCCCCAGTGACTCCTCCGCGGCCGAGGAGATGGAAGTGGCGGTCAGCAAGGCACGGGCTAAAGTGGTAAGTGCTGGAAGCAGGGGTGGGGCTGCCAGCCTGTGATGCCCCCCACCCCCATTGCTGGCCCTGCTCTCCTTGGTTTCCATACACAGTTCAGGGGGCTCAGCTGAGAGACAACAGAGCTGCCCTGCAGGGTGGGGTGATTTCAGGTGGCAGGTGCCCTCAGGTCTTCTCCGTGCCCGTGGGGGAGGGGGCAACCCTAGGTGGACCCACTGCAGCTTCGTCTTGGGAGGTGGTGAAGACCTGGCTAGCCCCACGTCAGAGCCCAGCCCTCCCAAGGCCCTGTGCCCGCAGAGCCTGGTCTGAAGGCCACTTCAGAACACACAGTTGCTGCCCAGAGCCTCCCTTCCTGCTCCAGCCTAAGCCGTTTGGCAACAGTGTCTTTTGGTTTTCCTCTTTCTTTTGTTAAAATTTCCTCCCATGGGCCGTGAGCCAGGCGCTGACTGCCCCCACTCTCCCTGTCCCTGGCAGACCATGAATGATTTCGACTATCTCAAACTCCTTGGCAAGGGAACCTTTGGCAAAGTCATCCTGGTGCGGGAGAAGGCCACTGGCCGCTACTACGCCATGAAGATCCTGCGGAAGGAAGTCATCATTGCCAAGGTGCGTGCCCCGGGAACTGTGCTTGCTGGCCCCTGCGGGGGCTGCGGTCTGGAGCCTGACCCTGAGGCCTGGACGCTTACCCACGCTTTCTGCTGCCGTGGGCTTATTTCCCCTATGAGTTCCCTCCAGACAGAAAAGGGGGAGCCTGAGGCCCAGAGAGGAGCAGCAGGCCTTGCTGCTGAGTCCCCACTTCCACCCTCTGGTAGGGGCTGGGGGTGCCTGTGGAGAGAGCGAGCCTGGGGGCCTCACCCAGCAGGTACTGTCAAGGGAGGCTGGGCCCTGTTGGGGAGGCTGTGAGGACGTTCCTGTTGGGGAGGCCAGGGCTCTGCTCAGGGTATCCCAGTTGGAGGCCGGGCCAAGAATGGAATTCTACTTTTTCCCTTATTTGAAGTTTTTGTAGTGGAAGATTCCAAAGATATTCAAAAATTTAAAAAGAAAATAAATATTACGGACCCCCATGTAGCCACTGTCCAGTTTGACCAGTTATCAGCGTTTAGCCAGCCTTGTTTCCTTAGCTCTGCCTGCCTCTCTTGTTCTGGACTACTTTAAGGCCTGTCTTAGACATCACATCGCTTCACTCATCCACACTTGAACACGTGCCCTGACAGATGAAGGCTGTAAAGAATATAATCGTGGTGCTGCCATCAGAGCCAGTCACATTAACTGTTCATTCCTGATGTGGTGATCGGGCCTAAGGCAGCATTCCTCAGCCTCAGCACTGTTGACATTTTGGGACAGATTGTTCTGTGCTGTCGGGGCAGCCCTGTGCATTGTAGGGTTTTAGCAGCACCCCTGGCTTCTACGCACTAAAGCCAATAGTAGCTCCCTAGGTTGTGACAATCAAAAATCACTTTTGGGTTGGGTGCTGCAGTGTATGCTTGTAATTCCAGCACTTTAGAAGGCTGAGGTGGGAGGATCGCTGGACTGGGCTCGTTGACCAGCCTGGGCAACAAAGCGAGACCCTGTCTCTATAAAAATAAATTAGCCGGGCATAGTGGCGTGCACCTGCAGTCCCAGCTGCTCAGGAGGCTGAAGTGGGAGGATCAGTTGAGCCTCAGAAGTTGAGGCTGTAGTGACCCATGTTCACACCACTGCACTCCAGCCTGGGCAACAGAACCAGACCCCCAGCTAAAGAAAAAAAAGACATTAGACATTTTCAGGTGTCCCCTGGGGATCAACTTGCCCCAGGGAGAGCCTGTGTGAAGTTGCTGCAGGTGGCTTCAGATTTTTGGAACCTCTCCTGGTGGTTCTGCTGTACAGTCAATTAGAACCTGAATTAGAGTCACCCAGAGGGCTTGTGAGACAGCGCTGGGCCCACCCTGAGTTTCTGACCCAGTGGGCCTGGGGGTAGGTCCCAGGAATTTGCATTGCTGCCAGTTCCCAGGCAGTGGTGATGTGCCCCGTGTGGGGACCACACCCTGAGAAGCACTGCTTTGCTGTCTAGAGCTTCGTTAGGCCCAGTTCCTTCTTTGGGCAAGAGCGCTGTCTAGGTGGGGCTTCCCACAGCCTGTGGTGGCACCTCGGGGCTCTTGTGATGAATGTTTGTCTCCCCTGCAGGGACATCACAAGTATCTTGCCCCTAGCAGCCTGGTCCCTTCATTGTGACATTGCTGCTGACTTTTCACCTGTGGCTTTGAGAGCCACTGATGATCCTCGTCTGGGTCTGTGATTTGCTGAGGGTTTGCAGGCATTCACATTCCACTCCTGTGATTGTTTCTGCATTTATGGCTAGGAACGGAATTGCATTTCACAAGGCCTTGCTCCCCTTCCTGGGTCGGGGTGGGGTGGGCAGGCATGGTGTTGCCCACCAGCCCCTCACCCGCAGTCTGTCTGCAGGATGAAGTCGCTCACACAGTCACCGAGAGCCGGGTCCTCCAGAACACCAGGCACCCGTTCCTCACTGTGAGTTGCCCTCCCTTTCCCAGACAGTGTGAGGCCAGCCTTTGGACAGCTCAGAGAAAGAGCCCAAATCTTCTGCTACAAAGCACAGCCTTGGGGGAGGCCAGGCGGCCAGGGCACGGTGTTGCTGCGCCCTGCCAAGTCATCCGAACCGAGACGTGTGGGGGTGGGCAGGCTCAGGGAGTGGGAGGGTGACAGCTTCTTCAGAGATGGTGGCTTTGTATAAGCACTTGAACCAACTGAAGATAACACATTATTCGATGGCTGCTGTCTCTATGAGTTAGGGCACTTAGCCCAGCTGGTTGAAGTAGAAATATTATTTTGTTTTTGTTTTTGTTTTCAGATATGCTCATAGAAGCAGATGTGTTAGCATTGTGTTGTCTGTCCGCTTGGACTGAGTAGATGCCTATTTGGGCTGCAGTCTCCATCGAGGCCAGTGGCCACCAGTTAAATGGATTAGATTAAGGATGGCTTATGTGTCATTTCTTTATCTCAGTTGCTGTCCAGGTATCCTATTAAGCCACAGTACTTTTTCAGATAAACTCTTATGAGGTACCTCAGTGTAGAAAACAGGATAGTTGAGTTGTCATGAGCTGAGGGACCCCCTGTCCATCCTGTTGTTGAAGTTGGCTCCCAAGCCTTTGCCACTCCCAGCCACAGCAGACATCACTTGTGTGTGTAAGTTGAACACATTTTACTGTAAAAACAAGAGCCCTGGTTGCTCAGTACAGCTCTAGTTTTCCCCTGGCTGTGCCTGATGGAGGCAGAGGACAAGATGGTTCAGCATGTAACCCTTTCCTACCCGCAGAGCCATGCCTTCACTTAACGCCCCAAAAGGTGCAGCCAATATGTGAACCCCATCTGGCTGATTCCCGGGGGCCCCAGCCAGGGCAGCGTGTATGTGTGCAGAATAAGCAGGGCCAGGGCCCTGCCCTGGTGTGGCTCAGCAGAGTCCTCCTCCCTCCCACCTCCTACCCTGCTGCCTTCATCCACCAGGCGCTGAAGTACGCCTTCCAGACCCACGACCGCCTGTGCTTCGTGATGGAGTACGCCAACGGTGGCGAGGTGAGCCGCGGCTGCCTTGGCTTTGCCCTCTGGGGCCTTCTTCTTTAGGGTGGGGCGGGTTGGAGAGGAGCTGTGGGTGAGATGGAAGGGTGGAGGGAAATTTCAATGTCATCTTGTGCTCCTCTCCCTTGAGGCAGGCGGCATCATCTCCATTTTGGGGGGCGGTCACTGAGGCTCAGAGAGGTTCAGTGGCTTGCCCAGGTTCACACAGCTAGTGAGTGGGTGGGTCAGGTCCACACCAGTCCAGAGAGGTGTGGAGAGGGCTGTGGGGCAACAGCACTGGGAAGGATGGTCTTAAAGGCCCCAGAAAAGGCTCCCAAGGGTTAAAACCTAGCAGCCCTCTGTTCCCGTGTCCTTCCGAAGTGGATTCCAGCAGCCACTCAGCTCCCCCTCACAGAGTTACCTTACCCACTGCTTGCCTCGCGCCTTCTCTGTGCAGCGGTTGGCACGCCTGTATTGGGATGGGAGGTTTGCTCATCCGTCCGATCTGGGCTTGCCCACGGCCTATTGTTACTTGGTCATGACGTGTGCTTCTCTTTGCCTCCATGCTGTCCTCCCTCCTCTGTCTTGGATGTCCCTGTCATACCCTCTTGTGGGTGTCTCCTGGTGGACCCTCGCCCTTCACCCCCAGCTCTGTGTCACTCGTGAGCTTCTGCGCTGTGCCTTGCTTGGTCCCTGTAGCTGTCACTTACTGGTTCATGACACAGGTGTCACCACATCACTGGGCTGGGGTAGGGGGTTGGGAAGGTGAGGGCATGTGGGTGGGCTGGGGCCTGACCTCCTCTCCTCACCCCTTCCTCCCGCAGCTGTTCTTCCACCTGTCCCGGGAGCGTGTCTTCACAGAGGAGCGGGCCCGGTTTTATGGTGCAGAGATCGTCTCGGCTCTTGAGTACTTGCACTCGCGGGACGTGGTGTACCGTGACATCAAGGTTAGTGGCAGGGTGTGCACCAGGCTGACCTGTGGCACGCACACCACATGGGACTCACACTGGGGAGGTGGGACTGAGGCCTTCTGCCCTCATTCGCCAAGCTTCCCACCAAGGTCCAGGGTGGTGGTTCTGTAGCAAGTGGCCCCAAGTAGGGACCTTTCCAAGCCTCCCACGAGCACTCCTAGGCCGCTAGTGGAGTGTGAACTGACACAATCCCTACTTTATTTATTTATATTTATTTATTTATGAGGAGTCCTGCTCCGTTCAGTGCAGTGGTGCGATCTCGACTCACTGCAACCTCCGTCTCCTGGGTCCAAGCTATTGTCCTGCCTCAGCCTCCTGAGTAGTTGGGATTACAGGTGCCCGCCACCGTGCCCAGCAAATTTTTATATTTTTAATAGAGATGGGGTTGCACCATGTTGGCCAGGCTGGTCTCAAACTCCTGACCTCGTGATCCACCCACCTCAGCCTCCCAAAGTGCTGGGATTACAGGCATGAGCCACCGCACCCAGCCAAGTTTAGAAGATAGTTCGGCAGTGTGTGCACAAGAGAAGTGGGGACGCACATTCACCTTAGAAAGTGTCCCCCCCACTCAGCAGCAGGACTCACTGTAGCCCCAACTGGAACAACCCAAGTGCCCACTGTGAGGAGAGGTCAGACCCACTGTGGAGTGTTCGCACAGTGGGGTGCCACACAGCAGTTAGGAATGAGCTACGGCGACACGCGACAGTGTGGACGCATCTCATAGGCTAATGTCGAGGGAAAGCCGCACAGAGGAGGTGGGTCCGCAGTTCACAGGCGTGTCTGTGTGCCGTGGCACAGACGGGAAGTAAAGGTTAATTCTTGTGGGGGATGGTCAGTAACTGGGAGGGGCACACAGGGCCTTCCAGGGGGAGATGCCATCTCAGCCTCGCAAGCAGCTAGGACTATAGGTGTGTGCCACCATGCCTGGCTAATTTATTTTTCATATTAAAAAATATGGAGATGGGGTCTTGCTGTGTTGCCCAGGCTGGTCTCAAACTCCTGGGTTCGAGCAGTCCTGCCGCCTAAGCTCCCCAAAGTGTGAGCCACTTTGCCTGGCTGCTTATTTCATAATTAAAAGACAAAAAGTCTAGGAAAAAAAAAAATAGAAGAAAGCTTGTGCCCCCATGTTCAAACGTAAGAACCTGCAGCTGACAGTGGGGGCAGTGGGTGGACAGGGCCTGGCTCTCGGTTCTCCCTGCCCAGCTGTTTCCAGGTACCCTGGGGGTGGGCCAGGGTGTGGGGAGGGTTGGGTCTGACCTCTCTCTGAGCCTCAGAGGGTGAGGCTGTGTGCGCTGGGCCCAGCCTGGCATGGGAGGGTTGATGTCCAGGAGCCCCTGGCATCTTTCCCTGGAAGGAAAGGCTGGGGTAGCAGGAACCCCTCGGAGCACACGCCTGAGATCCATTGACTTTTGCAACAGCTGGAAAACCTCATGCTGGACAAAGACGGCCACATCAAGATCACTGACTTTGGTCTCTGCAAAGAAGGCATCAGTGACGGGGCTACCATGAAAACCTTCTGTGGGACCCCGGAGTACCTGGCGCCCGAGGTGTCTGGGGATTGCGGGGGGGTAGGAACATGTGAGGCCAAGGGAAGGGGGAACCCCCAGACCTGTGTGTTTCCAGCCCAGATGCCCTGAGGGCAGGACTGTGATGCCAGCCTCAGGGCCACGGGCCCAGCCCTCATTTCCCCTCCATCCTCAGGTGCTGGAGGACAATGACTATGGCCGGGCCGTGGACTGGTGGGGGCTGGGTGTGGTCATGTACGAGATGATGTGCGGCCGCCTGCCTTTCTACAACCAGGACCACGAGCGCCTCTTCGAGCTCATCCTCATGGAAGAGATCCGCTTCCCGCGCACGCTCAGCCCCGAGGCCAAGTCCCTGCTTGCCGGGCTGCTTAAGAAGGACCCCAAGCAGAGGTGAGGGCTGGCATCGGCCCCGTCCAGTCCAGCCCAGCCCAGCGCCACCTGCTGCCACTGTCCCTGCGGCCTGGAGGGGGCAGCGTTCACAATGGCGCTCGCTTGTGGGGTCGCAGTGTGTGTTGTCCCCACACAGCCCCTGAAAATGTCCACAGTGGCACTTAGGGAGTGCTCCCCCCAGGGCAGGCCCATCCTTGACACTGCCTTACGGGGGACACTTTTATGGGGACACTGAGAAACAGGGCATCCCTAGGCCTGGCTGGGGCCGCCAAACCATATGTGGCAGAGCCAGGATAGGAACTGAGCCTGCCCTGCTAACTCCCTTTCTGGACTCAAGGGTGAGGCCAGGCTGTGAGGACACATGGGTCCAGGTTGCTGACTCCCTGGCTTGGACCCTGGGCAAGTGAGCTCCCTCCCTGAGCCTCGGTTTCCTCCTGTGAAGTGGTGGTTTGTGGTCAAGACAGAATCATTAAAGGCCATACAGGGCCTGCCTGTGCCGAAAGCCCGTCTCCCCGAACCCAGCCGCTCTGGGAGGCAGGTGCTGACGGCCATCTCTGCCCAGGCTTGGTGGGGGGCCCAGCGATGCCAAGGAGGTCATGGAGCACAGGTTCTTCCTCAGCATCAACTGGCAGGACGTGGTCCAGAAGAAGGTGAGCCCCCACTGCCTGCCCCAGCTGGACCCTCAGGGGCCTGGCCCGCTCGTGCTGACCTTGGTTGATGCCTCCTGGCCTCAAGGTCCCTGAGCCTGAGCTCCTCTCCTCCGTAGCTCCTGCCACCCTTCAAACCTCAGGTCACGTCCGAGGTCGACACAAGGTACTTTGATGATGAATTCACCGCCCAGTCCATCACAATCACACCCCCCGACCGCTGTGAGTGCCTGGGGCCCCCGCGCTGGTGTGCCTGCCCCGGTGGTGGAGGGATGGGGTCTGCTTTTAACCCACTTCTCGAGGAAGGCCCTTGAAGGCCCCTGCTTCATGTCTGGGAGGTCTCCCCCAAGGTCTGCTCTCAGGTCCTTTTGCTGTTGGTCCTCTTTGGACCTGGTGAGGCCACCAGGAGCCATTGGCTGCAGCACATTCTGGAGCTCAGTGCGGGGGTTCAGGGCAGGAGACAGCCAGGTCTGTGAGGCTGGCTGGGTTCACTGCTTTACAGCTGTTTGAGTTCTTACTCTGAACCCAGCCCGGTGCTGGGCTATGCTGGGGACACAGCACTGATTGAGCCAGCCCTGGGCCCTGCCCTGGAAAGCTCCCAGCCCAGTTAGGGTGGATGGCCTGGAGTGGTCAGGGCTAGGCTGTGGGAGCCCAGGGACTAGGGAATCCCAGAGGAAATAGCTGACATGGCCTGCAGTTAGGGAGGGCTTTCTGGAGGAGGAAGCAAACACGTCAGCTGGCCCGAGGAATGGGAGGAATGGCATGTGGGATGCCAGCAATGGGAGAAGCATGGCACAGCCAAGGACAGGCAGCAGCCGGGAAGAAGAGAGGGCATGGGGCTGGAGTGCAAGGGTCTGGGGGCCACTGGGAGGGGTGGGGACTGCTTGCATGGGGGGAGCCAACCAGGGAAGGGTTTCGTAGAGAGAGGGACAGGGTTAAAGAAGGCCTTTAGAAAGCCGCCCCCCGGGCTGCCTGTGGAGAATGGATGGGAGGGCGCGAGAGGCAGGCCAGGACAGGGCTCTGGGCTGGACCCTGGCGTGGTGGTGTATGGAACAGAGAGAAAGTGGGAGGCTCAGAAGGCCCTGCCAGCTGTGGGGCGCATGGGCAAGGGCACAGGAAACTCCCAGAGGAGGCTGCCCGGGGCTCAGGTTTGGGGAGTGGAGCCGTGGCTGAGGGGCTCCATTGCGGAGGGAGGTTTCTGGGCCTTTCCTGTCTGTCCTGTGGGCAGCCCCCAGCTGGGGCCATTTCCCCAGGGAGTCTGGGCAGGTGTCCCAGGCCCTCTCCTGACCGGTCCTCCCCATCCACCTCCGCCGCCCGCAGATGACAGCCTGGGCTTACTGGAGCTGGACCAGCGGACCCACTTCCCCCAGTTCTCCTACTCGGCCAGCATCCGCGAGTGAGCAGTCCGCCCACGCAGAGGACGCACGCACGCACGCAGCCATCACCGCCGGGTGGTTTTTCCCCCTAACTTTTTACTTTGCCTTTTTGGTTTGTGTCCCCACCCCCACCCCCACCTCCTCACCCCCTTTCCAGTTCTTCTTCAGGCCCCTCCCAGACGCACCCCAGCAGCCCCTGCAGCCCCTGCAGCCCCTGCCTCCAGCCTCACCTTTGTGCCCAGACTCGCTTTTGGGATACTCCACCTCTCGCCCAGGCCTGGGCTGTTGGAGAGATTCAGGTTTTAATCTACACAAGCCCCAGAGAGGGGTGAAGCCTGACGCCCGGGGCCTGCCTGAGTTTCTGGCCCGGGTGTCGTGCTAGTGGCTGCCTCCGCGCTGCTGCTTCCGGACGAAGGCTGCCTTATGGTGGGACGCGACACCCGGCAGACAGTGGTGCTGCCTTCCAGGCCCCGTGGCCTAGGCTAGGAGTGGCCAGGCACGGGGCGGTCCAACCCCCCACCTGCTGTCCCCCCATGGGGGCAGAAAAGCAATAATGTCCAGGGGCAGGCAGGGGCCCTTGGGAGCTGCAGGGTTGGGGGTTAGGGCTGCTCCCTGGTGAATGGAGCCAGGTCCCAGGATCTGCGCCATGGGGAACCGGGAGGGGCTGGGCTGGGCGCCGCCTCCTGGTCCTGTCTCCTCTCCACCAAGCTGCCCTCACCCTATGGATTGAGGCAGGAGGAACATTTGGGGGCAAACCTGCCTGCCTCCCAGCCCCGTGCCTTACTAGGGCTTCCTTCCAGCTGGCCTTACCTCCTGCTGGACCCCAGGCCTGGCCTAACCCCATTGGGGGCTGTGGGTTGGGCTCACCCCCTTCTCGGCGGGGGTGGAGGGGCACCAGCCTCGGCTGTTACAATCTTACACCGGACAGTATTGGGCCGCATGGACTTGGTCAGGGAGGGGTGGGGGTGGGCATCTCCGGTAGCTATTGGGGTGGGGGGCCTCTGAGAAGGGAGACTCCTAGGCCCCCTCATCCCTCCCTCTCCCCAGGGCCCCATGTTCTGCAGCCTTAAGGTTGAACGTGAACGCACGTCCATGTCAGTGCTGTGGGACTCCTGTGCGTGCCTCGGACTGCGTGTGTCGGCGGGATGCAGGCACACGTGGGTGTGTGTGCATGTGTGTTGTGTGTGAGGGCAGCGTGTCCTCCAGTGTGCGTGGTGTGTGGGCTTGGGCCCCATCCCTGGCCCGAGCATTTCATCCTGTGGGGGAGGGGTGCTGACCTAGTGGGAGGAGCCCCGCCTTGATCCATGAGCTGCCCTGCCCACGCCTCCCCTCCCTACAGCAACACCTCTGGGTGTTTGGAGTTCAGCTTTTGTGGGTTTGCTCTCCCTACCCCATCTCCTGTACGATGCAGTTCATGGCAGGGTGGGGAGGGTGGGGTTGGTTCGGGTGGGTGAGGGTCTTTTTCCTCTGTGTGCGATGTCGTTATCTGACAGTTCTCCTCCGTCCCTACTGGCCTTTCTCCTCGTGTTCATATTTGTACGGTACAAGCAATAAAGACACTCATTTCAGACCAGGGCCCAGCCTGCACTCACGCCGGCCCAGCCACTCTGGGCCTTGCCTTGGTGATGGAGTCGGACCCCTGGGCCCCAGCTCCTCCTGTAGTAGTCGCTCCCTTCAGCAAGCAGGGCGCTGAGCAGGGGCGTGGAGGTGAGAAGGAGCTCAGGGCCAGGGCAGCTGGGGTGTGTGCGGGAGCTCAGGCTGGAGAGGGTGGGTGCAGCTGGTGCTGTGGGGCTGAGGGGTGTGGGGAGGCTCCGCGCTTGTGGGGGTGTGGTGGACAGAGACCACTCCAGGCCCTCAGTGCTGTTTAAGCTAAGAGAGGTGGGGCGGAGGGACAGGGCTGGAAGATCTGGGTAGTCCAGAATGAGGAGGGTGCCTGTGCTGTCACTGAGTGAGAGGCGGTGGTTCATTCCGCAGGGCTGCCGAGCCTTAGAGGGGGGCATTCCTGTCCTGCCCCACCTCCCCATTTATGCTGCCACCTGGAAGCCTCGAGGCCCCCAAATTCCAGTACAGACCCAGTGGTGTGTTCATGGTGGCATGGCTGCTGTCTCCTGGGAGCTCCTGAGCGTTTGGTTGGAACCCCGTTCAGCTTGGGGTCAGCCCTCCGCTAGGCGCTGCCCTTTAGCCTGGCTGTGTCTGGGCCCCTGCACTTCCCATGCTTGAGTCACGTGGCCACATGGCCGGGCACTGGCCGGATGGCACGCCTCCCCCAGCCAGGGACCAGGGACCAGAGCTTTGGCCTGCCCTACTGAGCCCTGCTGTGCAGAGGGCCTGGCACAGATGAATTTGAGATTTTGCCACAAGGTGTTAGCACTTCACACCCGTTGAGTCTTTGAGATTTTAAGTGAATATAAGCAGAAAAAGATCCAATTTACAGAAATCAGAGTTAGCTACAGCTAAGACTCGTGTTCGGTTGGGGTTTTTTAGTTTGTCTTTCTAAAGTCCTGTGTACCTTAATTTAATTACAAAAGTCTACTCTGGTGGTCATAAGCAGGCAGGCCTTATAAAGAGAGGCCTTTTACTCTTCCTTCTCGTCCCAGCCCCGAATTGACCCACGTTGCTGCTGCTCACACCACGGTGACGCAAGTCTCGTGTGGGCACAGGCCTGGCTACCTCATCTTGTTAGTGGCTCTCTCCTCTTCCACAGGATGGGGGCCCACAGCTGCAGCAACCGGCCCCATAGTTGAGCACATGTGGTTATCCTATAGAGCTTTTCCCAAGGAGGGTGTTTGAACTTAGAGTCTTAATAAAATCTTACCAAATAAATTTTGAGTAGAATAATCGTCTTTTGCAATGTACATTTTAAAAATTTCACAAGTTCTTTTTTGTATATAAAGAACAGTAGACTGGGCACAATGGTTCACGCCTGTAATCCCAGCACTTTCAGAGGCCGAGGCGGGCGGCTCTCTTGAGCCCAGGGGTTTGAGACCAGCCTGGGCAACATGGGGAGACCCTCATCTCTACAAAAAATACAAAAATTAGCTGGGCATGGTGGTGCATGCCTGTCATCCCAGCTGACTTGGAAGGCTGAGGTGGGAAGATCACTTGAGCCCAGGAGTTTGAGGCTGCAGTGAGCTGTGATTGCGACACTGCACTGCAGCCTGGGACAGTGAGACCGTGTCTCTAGAAAAAAAAAAAAAAACATGATACATGCCATTAAAAAAGACAGCAAAGCAGGAGTATAAGAAAGTAAATTCACCCAAGGTCTCAGGACCTTGAGTACTCACTTTGGTGCTGATTACCTCTGTGCAAATGGACACAGCATAATAAATTGGTAGTTTCCTGCTCTTTTTGCATCATCTTTTCCAGTTAATGTGAAGCCTCTGGGGGCTGGCCTGTGTGCATTGATGACTGTGTTGAGTCAGGGGTAGCAGTGAGATTCCCTTTTAGCTGCTGCATTTGGGGAACTCAGACTTTCCAGCTGCTTCCTCAGGGTAGACTCCTCAACCGGTTCAGCCGCCCTGTTAAAAGGAATTGACTTGGTTTCATTTGGTGCTACCAGCAGTCCTGTAATAAACTTTAGCTATCTGTCCGTACTGTGCTTGTGCTTTTGTTTGTCGTCTACATCCCACGATTTTAACGTCCAATACCTTCCCAAAAAAGTGTAGCCATTCACATAAATAAATTTTGAAATAATTGGAGACTTGCAGAAAACTTTGAAAAATAATACTGTACTAAGATTATTCCAGGCCTGGGGCAGGAAATGTACAAGATGAGCCTGGGGCGTCTTGCAGTGCCTGAAAGTAAGCACAGATGTGCCTAAGTCACAGGGACACAGGAGCCAGCAGAAAGCTCCCAGTGGTCAAAGCTGAGAAGAATTTGAACAACAAAATAAATAGCATAATATTGGGTTTTCACCCAAAATGTGAAATAAGTCTACTGCTAAGTGACAAAATGGTGTGAATACACAAATCTACACAAAATCATAAGTAATTTCTGTAGACAGCCTTCAAGGAGGGCTATGTAACCCCCACTTCTTAGGTGTGGGCTGCAGTAGCTCCTCCAAAGAGTGCAGTGTGGAGAGGGGGGAAAAGTAACTTTTCAGTGAAGATCTGACAAACATCACCCAGCCGATCGAGGTCAACATTGCCGATGAATCCCCTTCACGGTGTCCCTTTAATGTGATGTAATAGAAGGGCACTTTCCCTCTGATCCTCCTCCCGCAGACACACACCACCTCCCTGAGAGGAAGCAGACATCAGATCTCAGTTGAGGGATTTGTCTGTCAAGGTGGTTAATCAGAAAAGTCTGAGAAAGTGACACATCCAAGATAAACCGAAGGAGTCATGGTGACTAAATGTGTCCTGAAATAGAACGTAGGGAAAAAGGAAGGCTGAATAAAGCATGGACTTAGTAGATGGATATTGGTCTAACGGATTGTGACAAATGGGGCACACTAATACGAGATGTTCATCGGGGAAATTGGGTGTGGGGTAGGTGGGAACTGTCTATTCAAAAATAAAAGTTATGTAAAAGGGTTACAAAATATACCCTTCACCAGGTTCTTCATAGCATTTTACTTAAAACGGACAAAAATGGGATCGGAATTTTCCATTTAGCCCTCCACCTCCTGCTCCACGTCTGTATACCTTTTCCAGAGAACATTCTGCTACATAACTGCTCTCCAGTTGTCAAGGTCAGGAAGCTAACATTGAAACCGCTGTTCTTTACAGATTTTATAATGTCCGCTAGTGGTCACACTTAATGTCCTTGTATGTTAAAAATTCCTAGCTAATGACCAGGCTCACACGTTGCATCCAGTTGGCAGGTGTGAAACCCACAGGGCAGTTATTTTGCAGTTATTTTCCCTCAACCAGGGTTGGTTGCCTCACGTTTTTGTTTTCTGTTTTTTTTTTTTTTTTTTTTTTGAGACAAGAGTTTCGCTCTGTCACCCAGGCTGGAGTGCCATGGTGTGATCTCAGCTCTCTGCAACCTCGGCCTCCAGAGTTCAAGCGATTCTCCTACCTCAGCCTCCTGAGTAGCTGAGGTGACAGGCACCCACCACCACACCCAGCTAATTTTTGTATGTTTAGTAGAGACAGGGTTTCACCATGTTGGCCAGGCTGGTTTCGAACTGACCTCCAGTGATCCGCCCACCTCAGCTTCCCAAAGTGCTGGGATTACAGGCTGAGCCACTGCGCCTGGCCTAAAGGTTTATTGTTTGTTAAGCTACTTACCTCTCACCATTTGCCCACAAGGAAATTCCTTGTGGACAAGACAGAGTTCAAAGTCATCCCTGTGCTTCTGTGAGACAAACCCATATCTGATGGCTTCCTCTGCCCTATTGTTTGAGCAAGACTAGGCATGGATGACTGTACCTGTAAATCGTGCATTCAGTAAATGGCTAATCAAACTCAAAGCAGCCGTTCGTCTCTTGTCTATGACCTGGAAGCCCCCTCCCCTGCTTCAAGTTGTCTCGCCTTTCCGGACCGAACCAGTGTACAGCTTATACATATTAATGACGTCTCATGTCTCCATAAAAATGATAAAACCAAGCGGTGCCCCGAACACCTCCTGAAGCTATGTCATGGGCACGTCCTTAACTTTGGCAAAATAAACTTTCTAAATTGATTGAGACCTATCTCAGATACCTTTTGGTTTACATAGTTAATAAGCATCTTGTGTAGAGGCATTTTGTAGATACCCTGATTCCTATCAGATGTTCACCCACTAGTTTAAACATCTATTGATGTTTCTTGCATGAAACGATGCTGTGGTGGTTGCCAAATAGAATTTTCCATCCTTCTATATTTATTAGTTCGGCCAGGCATGGCTCACACCTGTAATCCTAGCACTTTGGGAAGCCAAGGCGGGAGGATCACTTGAGCCCAGGAGTTCAAAACCAGCCTAGGCAACAAAGTGATACCCCAGTCTCTACAAAAAATTTTAAAATTAGGCAAGCATGGTGGCACACGCCTGTAGTCCCAGCTACTTGAGAGGCTGAGATGGGAGGCTCACTTGAGCCTAGGAGGTTTAGGCTGCAGTGAGTCATGTTCACACCACTGCACTCCAGCCTGCGTGACAGAGTGAGACCCTGTCTGAAAACAAAACACATCTATTAGTTCACATTCTAAGGATTAGAAGAGCTTTTCTTTCCCACTGTCTGAGTTATATCAGAATAAACATGTATTTTAATTTTATTCAGTGGTTTGTGATCTGTGACTATCATCTTGATGCTCACATTTTCTAGATTTAGCTAGTGACTTCTGCATCTATGTGACTTGCCCTGCCATTGGGACACTTTCTGCCACACAAAAGTATTCCAGATATTGTACCTTCTCTTGTATGACCCTGGGATCAGCCATTTCTCCAAGTAGACCTGGTTCCTTTTAGTGGAGAATGGGATGCGGCGGCCAGGGCCTGGATGGTACCGGTGCTTCTTACTATTGGGGTGTCATTGCTCTTAAACCCTCCCAGTGGACTAAGCTAGGAAATACATGTGTGCATACCCAACACTTATTTCTATATATGTGTTCACACAATTTTATCTCCAATTCCATTGTGACACCGACACCACAAGGGTCATTCTAACCTCTGATCTATGTTTGTACATCCATCCTCTGACGGTACAAACCCTGATTCTACATTTTGAAATCATCCCAACTTTATGGTCGAGGAAAGTGAGGCTCAGAGGGGCTGCTTCTGGGCAGCAGGATGAGGCTCTGTCTCCAGCTGCCCGACCTCAGAGGGCTTCGAGAGGACAGAGCCAGCCTGCGGGGCACTCGCCTTTGTGCACCTGCCCAGGCGAGGCGGGCTCAGTGCGCACGCGCCCAGGCGCATTTAAAGCACCCGCCGCGCCTCTCTTCCCCTAGCTGCAAGGGTCGGTGCTTGGCCTCGCCCGCAACACCCTCCTGGAGGATGCTGGTGAGAGGCAGGGACCAGGGGCCCGGCTCCCGGCTCAGGCCTCTCTTTAGGCGCTGAGTCCCCAGGCCCTCTCCTTTGCAGAGTCCCGCTGACTCCCTCGATGCAGAGCCTTCGAGCGACCCAGTCCCCGACGGCTTCCCCTCGGGCCCCAGTGTCTCCCCAAGACGCCTGGAGAGGCCGCCGGGGCTGGAGGAGGCGCTGAGCGCGCTGGGGCTGCAGGGAGAACGCGAGTACGCCGGGGACATCTTCGCCGAAGCCATGGTGAGCCGACCCGCCGCCTGCCCTGGTGAGGCCGACGCCAGCCCCCCCACCCAGCACCCACTCAACACCACCTCTGAACTCCCATCGCTCCAGCCTCTCTCCGCCCCATCACTGGCGGCCGGCGTTCCTTCTCTGCAACGTCCAGGCTGTTGTTTTGTTTTCACAGAGCACCGTTTCTACCGCTGGGAATGCCCTTTCCCACCGTCCCCGGGCTCTTTACAGCCCCTCCTGGGGTGTTTGTGGTCCCCGTACTTATCCTCCACATTTATTCAACAAATATTTAATGGTTTAGTAGCAAATGTTTTAAGCGCTGGAGATGCTGCAGTGCTGGCCTCGTTCTGGGGAGATGAGCAAACACATAGGACAGTTAGGGAAAGGCCATCCACACCAAAGCGTTGCCCTTGCCAGCCTTCAGACATCCCTATGAGAGGGGTGCTGCGGCAGGAAGACTGAAGGAAGGAGTTTATTTAACGTCTTGCCAGCGACTCTCCTGGGCCAGGATCTCTGTTAGGACCTGAGAGACACCTGTGTTCTGGGCGGAAGTCCCTGCCCTCGTGGGACTGGCAGCCTAGCGGCCAAATAGACAAAGCACACAGGGAGACATCTTCAGAGTGAAAACGCTGAGACAAAGAGATAGTGATCAGGTGGGAGGAGTATAGATAAAGTCATGGAGATGTTAGTTGAATGACGGAAAGGCCGTGCAAGGAGTTGGGGAAGGACCCTCTCTGTAGAAGAAACAGGAAGTGCAAAGGAGCTGGGGTAGGAATGGGCTTGGTATAGTCTAGGAGCCAAGAAGGTGGCTGTGGCTGATGTGTGGGTTGTCGGGGGAGAGAGGGAAGAGGTGATGTTGAAGCAGAGCCTGAAAGAAATTAGAGTTTTCTCCAAGGGTACTGGGAGCTATGGAAGGGTTTTATAAGCTGGGGAGTTCCTTGGTCAGATCTTTCTTTGGGAAGACCCTTTTGGGTGCTCTGAGGCAGAGAGGTTGAGGATTGGTGGTCAAGAGTTGAAGTCTGAGGCTGGGCGCAGTGGCTCATACCAGTAATCCCAGCACTTTGGGAGGCCAAGGTGGGCAGATCACCTGAGGTCAGGAGTTCAAGACCAGTTTGGTCAACATGGTGAAACCCCGTCTCTACAAAAATTAGCCGGGCGTGGTGCTGCATGCCTGTAATGCCAGCTACTCCGGAGGCTGAGGCGAGAGAATCACTTGAACCCAGGAGGCAGATGTTGCAGTAAGCTGAGATCGTGCCATTGCACTCCAGCCTGGGCAACAGAGTGAGACTCCGTCAAAAAAAAAAAAAAAAGTGAAGTTCTGGGAACCTAGGGGGAGACACCCAGGAGACTATGTGGCTCTGGGGGCTACAGACTGGAGAGGTGGGTATGGAGGCATCTGAAACAAAGCCCAGAGTTCTAGGTGAGGACATGTAAGAGGAGCTCATTTGGAGGCCAGTTTGGGTGTGGCACACCTGAGATGTCCAACTGACTGGAGGAGGCTGCTACACCCAGGGCTGGAGCTCAGGAGAAAGGCAGAGGCACAGGTGTGGAGAGTGAGGCATCCCTGCCCTAATCCCAGGTGTGCCGCATGCTGCCCCGGAGAGCCCTGCCCCGCGCTGTGACCCCGGAGATGCGCGCCCTGGTGGTAGACTGGCTGGTCCAGGTGCACGTAGGTATCTGGAAGGGTGTGGGGGGCTGAGTTTGCGTCGCCGCCTGGGACCCCGTGGTCACCTGTGCCCCTCCTCAGGAGTACCTGGGTTTGGCTGGTGACACACTTTACCTGGCGGTGCACCTGCTTGATTCCTACCTGAGTGCTGGCCGCGTGCGCCTACATCGCCTGCAGCTGCTGGGCGTGGCCTGCCTGTTTGTGGCGTGCAAAATGGAAGAGTGCGTGCTTCCCGAGGTACTTCCGGGGTGGGGTTTGGGAGGGTGGATGGAGTCCTTTGGGGAGTCACTGATTCAGTGCCTACTGTGTGCCAAGCACCGTGCTGTGTCTGGGATTCACATGTATGAGGGAGGGGCTGTCAATGTGTCCCTTAAACAGAAGAGGAGACCGAGGCCCAGAGAGAGGAAGACACTTGCCTCACAGCAAACAGTTGGAACTTCGACTCTGTCTAGAATAGTCTGTCTTAAGGCTGGGGGTGATGGCTCACGCCTGTAATCTCAGCACTTTGGGAGGTTGAGACGGGCAGATCACTTGAGGTCGGGAGTTTGAGACCAGCCTGACCAACATGGTGAAACCCTGTCTCTACTATAAATACAAAAATTAGCCCGGCGTGGTGGTGCACGCCTGTAGTCTCAGCTACTCAGGAGGCTGAGGTAGGACAATTGCTTAAATCCAGGAGGCGGAGGTTGCAGTGAGGTGAGATCGCGCCACTGCACTCCAAAACAAAACAACCCGAAAGGTATATCACTTTGGGAAACCAAGATGACCTCGTCTCTAATTTAGAAAAGTAAATAAAAATAATATAAACTAGGCCATCTTGAATAGTTACCGTCAACATGCATGAATTTAGTGCCTTATCAGAACTGCCTGGTGAAGCAGGGAGTAGTATCTGTTTTACGGCGGGCGGGGGGGTGGTGGGAATGAGGCAGAGAGCTGAAGTGAATGTCCTGTGTGTCACAGTGAGCAGATGGTGGGGTTTGAACTCGAACCCAGGTCTTGAACCCAGGACTCTCAAGCCCGTGCTCTCTACGACTTCCAGACACAAGTCAATGGCCCCATTTTACACACCAGGAAACTGAGGTCCGGAACCTGGGGCCTTTTCAGGGCAGGGAGTAAAGAGCCGGGATCCAAGACTCCTTCACCTCCCCGCGCATTCCCCATCTGCAGCCCGCCTTCCTCTGCCTCCTGAGCGCCGACTCCTTCTCGCGGGCGGAGCTGCTGCGAGCCGAGCGCCGCATCCTGAGCCGCCTGGATTTCCGGCTGCACCACCCGGGTCCGCTGCTGTGCCTCGGGCTGCTGGCCGCGCTGGCAGGGAGCAGCCCCCAGGTGAATCCTCGTGGATACGGGGGTGGGGGCGTGGCCGACGCGAGGTGGGGCGTGGCCTGACAGTCGCCCCGCCTCACTTGCAGGTGATGCTACTTGCCACCTACTTCCTGGAGCTGTCTTTGCTGGAGGCCGAGGCGGCGGGATGGGAGCCAGGTCGTCGCGCGGCTGCGGCTCTGAGCCTGGCGCACCGCTTGCTAGACGGCGCGGGCTCCAGGCTCCAGCTGGAACTTTACAGGTGTAGTCTTGGCGTATGGGATCACAGCAGCTTCAGGGACTTCCCTTCCTGGTCATTTTTACCGTCTCAGAGAACGAGAGAGCATTATTGGGGAGGAGGTGGCACCTAGACTTGATTTTTCTGTGTGGGGGAGAGAATGGAGTGGGAGGACCCCATTAGTCCAGATCTGGGGGCTCTTAACCTTGCTCCAGGGTGGAAGATAGTCTCCCAGGCCCAGAAGATGCTCCTGTTGCCTTCTAGGGCTGAGAACGAAGGGTCTCTCAGGCCTCGAGTCCTCCATCTCTGTATCTGGTGATGGATGGGGGTCCCTTTAGCTGCTAGGGCCGCTAACCATGCTACCAGGTGGCAGGGCGAACCACGGTTTCCCCCAGGATAGGATGGCTGCCCATCCTCAGCTCCCCTCTTTGCTTCCTTGCGTGTTCCGACTCCGCACTAGCCGCGCCCTGTAGGAAGAACTGGGTGTCCACCTCTCCCCGGTGCTCACCTAGTCACTCCAGTTGAGGATGGTACGCGTGCCGGATCTCAAGAGAGCCCCTGACCCGTCCTTGGGGACCCACATCGACGCTGCTTCTCACGAGTCTCCAGTTCCAAGGATGGGTCATCTCCAACCCCTTGTCCTACCTTAGTTTCTCCATCTCCCTGCTGCAGCCCCGAGGAACTGGGCCCCCTCGAGCCGTGCATGGCCCGCGCTGCGCTCCGAGGTCCCGCGCCGGGCCGCGCCGCAGTCTTCCTCAAGTACGCGCGGCCCCAGCGCCAGGGCACCAGCCTCGCCGCCGCCTGCCTGCTCCGCTGCCTCCAGCCTGAGCCCCCCTGAGCGCTGAGACTCAGTCACAAAAACAACAACAAAAAAACCCCCAAAACCCTCCCAGTGTATGTCCGTCTCTCATCTCAATAAAAGAATGTATTTTATTTTGAGCGCTCTCTGCCCTCATTGGGCGAATTCCAGTCCCTTCTAGCTTTTGATTGGTCGCTTTCCAGGCCTCGCATCCCTCTGATTGGATGTTCTCACCACTTCCTTTAATGGTTGCTGGGATATAAAATGCAAATTCTGAGCTCCACCACCAGGGGGCAATGGCGGGCTTCCCCAAGGGCCATTCAGCAGGATAAAACTGGGATCCCTTAAGGACTGGCAAGAAATCACGAAGGATGGGGACTGCGAGGAGCTGAGAATGCCCGCCCCGGTCAGAAGAAATGCTATCTCGATGTTGCCAGCTTTTCAGATCTTATTCAAGTAAATCTGAAATTCTGCAATTCTAAATCTGCTTTTAGATGTCAACTAATTCAGTATTTCCTTTTTTTTTTGAGACGGAGTTTCGTTCTTGTTGCCCAGGCTGCTGGAGTGCAATGGCGCGGTCTCAGCTCACTGCAAACTCTGCCTCCCGGGTTCAAATGATTCTCCTGCCTCAGCCTCCCAAATAGCTGGGATTACAGGCGCCTGCCACCATGCTCAGCTAATTTTTCTATTTGTAATAGAGATGAGTGTCACCATGTTGGTCAGGCTGGTCTCGAACTTCTAACCTTAGGTGATCCTCCCGCCTCGGCCTCCCAAAGTGCTGGGATTACAGAAGTGAGCCACCGCACCCGGCCTAATTCAATATTTCTTAGTGGTAGTACAAGCCCAATGCATCACATATACTGGGCTATGAAGATAGGGTCTCCCAGGCCTGGAAGATGCTCTGTGAAGGTCATCAGTTTGTAGTAGTAAGTCCTGGATAGTGAGAGTTTGATCAATGGGGTCTGATATGCTTAACCTGGGAAATGCCCAGGTGTCAACGGGGATAATTATGGTACCAACCTCCCGACACTGTGGTGAGGATGTGAGTTAAAATATACGTAAAGCGACCAGGTGCGGTGGCTCAAGCCTGTAATTCCAGCACTTTAGGAGGCCGAGGCTGGCGGATCACGAGGTCAGGAGTTTGAGACCGGCCTGGTCAACATAGTGAAACCCTGTCTCTACTAAAAATACAATAAATTAGTCGGCGTTGTGGGAGGCACCTGTAATCTGAGCTACTCAGGAGGTTGAGGCAAGAGAATTGCTTGAACTCGGGAGGTGGAGGTTGCCGTGAGCTGAGGTCACGTCATTGCACTCCAGCCCCAGAGACAGTGCAAGACTCCGTCTCAAAAAAAAAAAAAAAAAAAAAAAAAAGTACAGCTTTATGACGATGTCTGACACCTAGGAGGTGTTGTAAAAGTGTTAACATTGTATCCCAGCAGGACTGTGATTTTAGGTATGGTTGTCCTCTGCTACTGTGCCCAGGTACCTAGGCATTTACTTGGTCAGAAAACATGGTTATGAATCAACGGATTTTTTTTTTTTTTTTTAAGACAGGGTCTCACTCTTTCATCATTCAGGTTGGAATGCTGTGGTGTGATCTCAGCTCACCGAAACTTCCACCTCTTGGGTTCAAGCAATCCTCCCACCTCAGCCTTCCAAGTAGCTGGGACCACTGGTGCATGCCACCATACCTGGCTAATTTTTGTATTTTTGGTAGAGACACGGTTTTGCCATGTTGCCCAGGCTGGTCTCGAACTCCTTAGTTCAGGTGATCCACCTGCCCCAGCCTCCCAAAGTCCTGGGATTACTGGTGTGAGCCACTGCGCCCAGCCAGATCTCCGTGTTTTTAATTACAAAACAGACACACCCGAAGTGGGGAAAGGTGTGTGCACTGCTCAAGAACTCAAACTCAGGAGTTTTATACTCCTAACTGAGCCTGGGTTTGGAGATGCAGAGAGGAAAATGTTTGCACCCCTGAGGTGTTCAAGGCTGGACCTCAGGGATAAGGGAGAAACTCAGCAAAATCGTTTTACAGCAAAGTACAATAAGAGATAGAGGCAGATGCTGTGGTTGAGATGGAAGGTGCTGAGTTCCGGTTTCTGTCTGTCACATGTGACTTGCCATGGGACCTCCAGCTGGAGGATGTGCTGTGGGGGTGGAGGTGGGGAGAGTGGAGACTCTTGGGGCTGAGACCCAAGCTAGAGTCTCAGGGGAGGGGGAAGGAGTAGTAATGCATAATGCCTTTCACTCACACACTCATTCATTCAACAACTATATATGGATGCTGACTCAGAGCCAGGCCCTCATGATCACATGACTCAGAGTCTAATGGATGATAAGAACACCAGTTGTTGCCGGGCGCGGTGGCTCAAGCCTGTAATCCCAGCACTTTGGGAGGCTGAGACGGGTGGATCACGAGGTCAGGAGATCGAGACCATCCTGGCTAACATGGTGAAACCCCGTCTCTACTAAAAAATACAAAAAACTAGCCGGGCGAGGTGGCGGGCGCCTGTAGTCCCAGCTACTCGGGAGGCTGAGGCAGGAGAATGGCGTGAACCCGGGAGGAGGAGCTTGCAGTGAGCTGAGATCCGGCCATTGCACTCCAGTCTGGGCGACAGAGCAAAAAAAAAAAAAGAACACCAGTTGTTAATTGCCCATTAATGTATGAAGCCCTGTGCTAAGTGCCTTACCTGAATAAGATAATTCCGTTCCTGCAACCGCTCTGAGGTTAACTTGCCTTTTATCCTCATGTCACACAGAGGAAGTCCAAGGAGGACGATAGAGGAACTTGGCCCAGGTCCCACAACTAAGGAGTCAGCTAAGGAGGACTGAAGGGCAATTCACCCTCGGTTTTTTTCTTGAAAGCTTCCTGCATGCTTCCTTTCCTGGGGACTTGTTCGCCTTCTCACTAGTTTTCCCCCATAGACAGGTGAGCTGGGTGAGGGCAAGAAGGAGATGTCTCTTGTTTATAGAGTGATTCCCTCCTCCAGGAGGACTTTATCACCACTTCAGCCCAGGGCAGGTACCTCCCACATCCCAGTCCCGACCCCCTGCCTGTGCCTCTTCCACCTCGGCCCTGACCCCTCTGCCTGTGCTTCCCAGGCTAGCCTGCTCAGGGCTGTCACTGTCTGGTCTGTCTTCCCACTGAACTGGGGGCCCAGTGAGGGTAGGGTCTGAAGCTCACGCAGTCTCTGCTATGTCCCAGCATCATCCAGCACAGAGCTGGGCACAGAAAGGACGTCAGTGAATATTTGTTTCATAAATTAACAGATGAATCCCAAAGGTGGTATTATTTTTAATGTATCTTTCTTTTCCTTTTACTTTCCTTTCCTTTCCTTTCCTTTTTTGAGACAGCATCTCCCTCTGTCACCCAGGCTGGAGTGCAGTGGCACAATCTCGGCTCACTGCAATCTCTGCCTCCCAGGTTCAAGCGATTCTCCTGCCTCAGTCTCCCGAGTAGCTGGGACTACAGGTGCACGCCACCACACCAGGATAATTTTTGTGTATATATACAAAAATTTTGTAAATATTGTATATTAGTAGAGACAGGGTTTTGCCATATTGGCCAGGCTGGTCTCAAACTCCTGACCTCAAGCGATCCGCCCGCCTGAGCCTCCTAAAGTGCTGGGATTACAGGCGTGAGCCACCTCGCCTGGCCCTAAAGGTGATATTATTGTCCCGTGTTACTGATGAGGATACAGAGTTCCAGGCGGTTTAAGCGAGCTGTCTAAGTCATACCACTAGTGAGAAAATAAGCTGGGATTTGAATTTGGGAAGCTTGGGTCCAAATCCTGTGTTCTCGTTGGATATGCCAAATGGCCAGTGGGCTGAAAGCCAGCTTTCTGTGAGGCTGATGTCTTCCTGCTCTTCCTCCTAGGCTCTTCCTTTCCTTCTAGAAATCTTCGGGAGCTTTGGGCACCAGGGAGAAGAGCAGGCAGGAGGGTGGGGAGGGTAAGGGGAATGGGAACAATTTGGGGGGCGGGCTGGAGAACTAGGACTTGGCTAATCTGAGAGTGAGCATGGGGGAAGTCTCGAGGGGTTTCCCTAGACCCATAGGGGGCAGCCGGAGTCGGCTGCCGGAGGTGAGGGGGCGGAGAAAGGGTGGGGACCAGCCCCGCGGGGGGCGATGCGGTAGCTGCAGCGGCGGCGGCAGGAGTTTCCCACAATGCAGCGCGGCGCGCTGTCCCCGGTGCTGATGCTCAGCGCTGCCCCGGAGCCTCCGCCGCGCCCGCCTCCCGCCATCTCCCCGCCGGGCCCCGGCCCGGGCTCGGGCTCCCGCCATGGCTCGGCTCGTCCCGGTCCTACCCCAGAGCCGTCGGGGAGCCTGGGCGCGGCGCTCGACAGCAGCCTGCGGGCCGCCGTGGCGTTCAAGGCAGAGGGCCAGCGCTGCTACCGAGAGAAGAAGTTCCGGGAGGCCATCGGCAAGTACCACCGAGCGCTGCTTCAGCTGAAGGCGGCGCAGGGGGCCCGCCCTGGCGGCCTGCCCGCCCCCGCCCCCGGGCCCACCAGCAGCCCCGGGCCGGCGCGTCTCAGCGAGGAGCAGCGGCGCCTGGTGGAGAGCACGGAGGTGGAGTGTTACGACTCCCTCACGGGTACGCCGTCGGAGGGTGGGGGATGGGGCACAAGGGGAGGGGGCAATGGGGAGAGCTTGGCGACTTGTGGCGGCAGGGGCCCTGGGGCTGAAGAGTCCAGGGCTGTGGGCTTCTGGGGGAGACTTCAGAGCTTGATCAAGGAAAGGGATTAGGGGTAGGGAATAACAGGGTTCTGTGGCTAGAGGGAGCTGGGATGCAGGAAATGGTCTTTGGGTCGGGTCTTCAGGGCCCCGCTTCCCCTGAGTCATTCTTTCTACCCCCTGGCCACACGTGGACCTAAGGTGAGGAAGTCTTCCCTGAGCCAGCCGCTCGAGGTCCCGGCCCTCGCCCCGGTGCGGGCCCTTAGTGCTCTTGCCCACCGACAGCTCCGGGTGGATCGCCCAGCGGCGCCAGTCCGTGTTTTGGCGCCACCTAGCGGCGGCGCAGTTGCGTCTGTTTTGATAGGCGAGCGGATTGGCGCCCCCGGTTGCCGGAGCAATCCCTTAGGCCGGGTTCTCTGCAGCCTGGAGCCCCGGCTCCTCGAGGTCAGGTGGGTTTTGGGGGTGCCA